TTTAAATGAAAATCCAATCTAAATTCAATCAATTATTAATATCTCCAGATTTTAATAGTATGATCATACGAGGCTGTTGCTACAGAACTACCATCAAGTGACCAGTCAATAGAAAAAACTTCATCTAAATGACCTGGTAAATTTGTCATTAATTTACGACATCCTGGAACAACATTCCACAATTTGACTGTACTATCTTTGCTTGCACTTACAAGCATTCTACTGTCTGGAGACCATGCACATCCATAAATTGTTTGAACATGTCCTCTATATGTATGTAAACAAGACCCAGTAAATCCATCCCAAATTCTCATATTTTTATCACATCCAGTACTTGCTATAATTCTACTATCAGGAGAGAATTTACATGACATAACTTGACTTGAATGTCCAACAAGTCTGTGGACTGGTTTTTGTGATTGTAATGGCATCCACATATATAAAGTTCCATCGTCACTTGCAGAAACTAATCGTTCACCACCACCACATCCCATTATTTTATCTAATCTTTTTTTGGCTCCATCAATTCCTTTGTCTTTTTCTAATGGATCATAACCACCTTGTCTAAGCACATATTCAGTAGATGTACTAATACTATTAATCCAATGAGAATGACCTTTTAATACGTGAATTGGATTTGCTTGTCTCATATCATAGACATTAATCATTCTATCTCTTGATGATGTATATAAAATATTTTCATTTCCACTCCATCGTACACTAGTTACTCCTTGGGTATGTCCTCCAAGTGTTCGAATAACTTCACCTCTTCTAGCATCATAGATTTTACTTGACATATCACGTGATGAAGATGCAAAAATAGCAGAATCACCAAAGACTTCAGGTTTCCATTGAATGTCACTTATGAAGTTTTTATGACAATATGACCATAATTGTTTTCCATCTGTTCCATTTTCATTTAATTCCCAAACAATTACTTTTCCAAGTTTATCACCACTTGCAAGTAATTTATTTCCATAATGCCAGTCTAAATTTAATACCCAATCTCCATGTCCTTTTAATGTACAAATTGGAGTGCAAGTGTTTAAATCCCATACTCTAACTGTATGATCTCCACTACATGAACCTAATTTACTTGAGTCTTGTGAAAATTTACATGATAAAATTGAATTGCTATGTCCAGTCATAGTATGAGTACTTCTTGAAATTGGTCTACATCTAAAAACTGCTTGTGGATAATATGTAATTGTTACAACTTGTTCTGCTCCTTTATTAGGGATATTTTCAGTTATTTGAATGCCATCTGTATAGAATGAATAAGGAAATGGTTCTTCTTCTGTTTTATTTAATTTATTTACTAAAGCATTTAATTCTTTTGTATTAGTTTCTTCTGGGATTTCAAAAACTTGAGAAGGTTCTGAGTTAGGCAATTCTCCATTAATTAAACGAATTTGAATATGTTCCATCAAAAGTACCTTTAGTTTTGATTTGAAAAGGGTTATTTTTTTCAATAAATTGAGACTTATAATAATGAAAATTATATTGTAATACTATTCTATCTTCTTAAATCTTAAAAATTAATTATTTTCATTCAATGTTCTTCTTCTGTCTTTTATTTGTATCTTCTTTTAGTTTACAACAAGATGATATTATTCTTCTTCCACGTTCATCTGATGGAACAATTAAGTATGAAATTTCAAGTGAACAAATGACATCTTCTGATGGATTTGTAGGTCATTTTTGTACTACAGGAAATATTCCATCTTCTCTCTTATTTCCAAAAGAAATTGAAGAGATTGGATTATTAATGAAAAGAGTAACAGACAAAGTATATCAATATTCTTCTATTCGTGAATTTATGAGTGAATATAATTCAAATACATATATGGTTATTGGTAATGCAGCAGAAAATATTATGAAAGAAATTATTTATAATTTTACAGGATATGATGTTGTACGATTTGGTAAAGTAAATACAAACATTTATAATCCAATTACAAATATATTTTATGGAATTAATAATCAATTAGAACATCCTAATGGATTTTTTTATACTTCTCATTCATTATCTTCTGATTATAAAGATCAATTTCCAATTTCAGGAATATTTGAAATACATCAACATGTAGAAACTAATAACTCTTTTAGTGAATTAAAAAATATTATTGAAAATCATCTTGAAGAAATGAAAAAAACATGGAACTTTGATTCTACTGGTGATAGATTTTATATGAGAGTTAATGTTAATTTAAAAAATAAAACATTTGAATATTGTGAAATTGATACATTTGAAACTTCTTCATTTAAATCAAATTATCCAAAAAAAACAGATAAGTATAATCGTAATATTTATTTCTTAAATTCATGTGGTATTGATTATTATAATAAAAACAGTACTTGTAAATTTACTCGATTTAGTGAAAAAGGAAAAAATAGTGAAATGTTTGATTTTGATACTGTTCAATATACCCATCCAATTCCTGTTTATCTTCAAAGACTTAAAGGTGAAGGAACTCATTTAACAACTGAAATAACTACTCTTAATTTTAATACAACAAATAATAATGATATTTATTTAATTTATACCGTCCCACAAGGTATTTTTATTGATAAATATCAAATGCAAGAATTACAAAGAAAACAAAAAGACCTTGAAGTATTTATGTATGAACCAATGGACCTTGAAGCTCCAATTTTAACTGGAAGACAAGCTCATGTTATAATAAAAACATTAAAACAAACAAAGTCTATTTCAACTCATTCAATTCCAATTCATCTTAGATATCATAAAGCTAGAATTAATGATATGTTTGAAAAAAATGTTATCTTCCCACCTCCAGAAGTTTTCTTTATTTGTGATAATTGTACTGATAGTAGAAGTATTGAATTATTAAAATATCATAATATTAATGGTTATTTTAATACTCCTATTTCTTGTGGAACGAGTGATCCTTCTCAATTTATTTCACCAACTTGTAATCCTCAATTCTCTCAATACACAGTACCTGTAGGACAACTTGACGCATTTGATTCAGTAATGAAAATCACACTTGGAACTACTTTAATTGGTGCAATTATAATCATTGCATTCGTTATCATTTTTTAATTGAAAACCAATTTAATCAATAAATCAATGTTTCATATTCAATTAAATTGACAAATAGAATAGCATTTATA